TCTTGCTGTCATCATTTTGGGTTTCAGATAAATATAGCTTAAGAAAAACAATAGGAACAACTTCCTATTATGTAATAAAGACAGGGATAATTTTGGAAATGTTGTTGTTCCTTCATAAATCATTTATGCCTTGTTTTCTATTCTACCGTGTATGATATGATTCATAGGTTTCAAGAAAGTTCCGGGGATTGTTGACCATACAGAAATGGTATTCATTGCTCACCCTGGGTGGTTATAAGCCAGCATTATTACTGGAGTAATACTGTGCTGCAATTCCACTTTCATAATACCACAAGTTCTTTAACATTATTTTCCCAGAAGTTGAAATTTAGAAATTTAAACACAGATAGCTTTCGCTCTTTCATTTCCATTTCATGACATTTACTGTGCAGAGGTGTGGCCTCAGCACATAAAGGTGGAGGGTGTGGGTGTGAAGCGTGAATGGTGGGGGAGGGGCAGTCACTGTGATTGATAGAAGAAGTACATGAATAGCAGTAAAGCTGGCCATGGTGGCGTGTGCCTGGGTTAACCCCAGGAATTCAAGACCAACCTGGGCACATAGCAAGACCCAAAAGACCAAACAAAATAAGTAACAATAAAAGGAACGTAACCTGAATACCCCAAAGTGGACTAGAACCTAGCCAGCCATTAAAAACAAATAAGAATTAGGGCCAGCAAGGTAGCTCAGCCTGCTTAGGCAAGTGCAGGGACCAGCTTCCATCCCCAGCAATACATGCCGCTCTGGCTCCGCTCCGTGCGCTGAGCCAGCCGCAAGACCGAGCATGGTGATGCCCACCTGTAATCCTAGCGCTAGGGAGGCTGAAAACAGGAGGATCACTGCAAGTCTAAGCTGCATAATGCGACCCTGCACAAAATACATTAAAAAAAAGTAATGCACAGATGATATGCATTGCTGTCCAGAGAGCTTTTTATACTCTGTGCTCGGCTTCTGTTCTTTCAGCCTCTTCCCGATTCTTACGTCCACCTCAGAAACACCAGGCAGAAGAGATGGTGGTGGTGTGTGTGTGCGCGTGTCTGTGTGGGAAGGACTGTGAAGCAGTGGGTCAGGGCTGCTGTCACAACAAGCTTTCTGGTCTTGGAGAACTGATTGCCAACAGAGTTGGAGCTATCACCGCCCCTCTTCCAAGCCCAGAATCTTGGACTATGAACCACAACCAAAATAGACTGGAATCTGATGAGTAACATGAATTGAGCCAGCAGAACCAGGGGAAAGAGAAAGGATAATCCCTGGAAACCTAAGACTGCTTCTAGGAGCCCCAAGCTTGTAAAAGAGAGCAAGCAGCCTTAGTGAACGCGGTGAAGATTGACTATAATCTTAGTGCTCTTAGAGGCCAAGGCAGGAGGAATACAAGTTCAAGCCCAGCTGGGCAACTTACTGATTTAGGGAGATCCTGTCTAAAAGTAAAAATTAAGAAAGAACTGGGAAAGTAGTTCAGGACAAAGCCTGTATATTTAGTCCCAGAACTGTTAAAGGCAAGGGAAGGGACATGATGATAAGGGAGGAGAGGGAAGGGGAAGGAAGAGAAGGTGAGTAGCTTTGCAGGTGAAGAAGAGATTTAGTTACAGAAAGAAAGCTTTGGTGCTAAATAAAAAGTACTTCTGAAGAATCACTAGGCTTTCTTTCTGATTGTAGATTAGAGGTGCTGTGATATCAATGATCATAGCTAACCTAAATTTTTAAAGATCTTAGGTGTCATCTAGTCTGTGTCCATTTTGTAGACCATGGGATTCTGCGGTAGGGCTCAGTGGTAAGTTAGAAAACTAGAATCACTGGGTGTAGTGGTACAGGCCTGTAATCCTAGCACTCAGGAGGCGGAGGCAGGAGGATGGCTGTGAGATCAAGGCCAGCCTGAACTGCATAGTGAGACCCTGTCTCAAAAAGAAAAAGAAAAAAGGAAAACTAGGGCTGGTGAGATGGCTCAGTGGTCTAAAGCACCTACTTAGAACAAGCTTAGCAAAGCACAGGGACCACGGTTCAATCCCCCAGCACCACATGCCAGCCCTGGTGGGCTGAGCTGGCCACACACACACACACACACACACACACACACACACAAATAAATAAATAAATAAAATTAAAAAAAAAAAAGAACTTCAGCTATTGTTTTCTTCTCTCTAGTGGAGATCTGCTTGCTCCAGAGGTACTGGGGTAGTTTAAAGAATAAGGTGCAGAAGATGATTTGTTCCCCTTTCCATGCACATTGAGCTGTGGCCTGTGTTCCTGCAACCTTGGTCTGTTGTGGAGTGGGCTGTGAGGGAAGGATGCTGGGCTGCTGCTGTGAAGGACATGAAACTGACTGAGGACATCTTTCAAGGAGCGTCCCTGAAATTTGACCACCTTGGTATGGTGATCTCCAAGCGTAAATCATATTGGGTAGTGCACACTTATAACCCCAGATACTTAGGCTGAGGCAGAAGGATGACAAGGTAAAGGCCAGCCTGAGCAACTTAGCAAGAACTCTCTCTGAAAAATAAAAAGGGCTAGAGATGTATCATCAGTAGTAGAGCACTTGCCTAAAATATACAAGGTCCTGAATTTCCTCCCTGTACCACAACAAAACGGCCATGTTTCTGTGTTCTTCTCTGCTTAGCAGAGTATGAGGTGTGAAAGGTTTACAGAACTGGTTAGGATGTAGTATGTACGGTGTTCAGTAGATGTTTACCTTGCCACTTGCGAGGGCCTACTCTATGTGCTGGGGAAGAAGCACTTAAACCTGATGAAAGTCTCAGCCTCGTGGCCTTTCATTCCTAGGAGAGAGACACAACATAAAGGAATGAGGCATGCAGTAGAGGTGGTGCTGTGTTGGTAATGGGGCTTTGCAGCTTGTCAGGTCCAGGAAGAAGCCACAGTAGGGGGTGGAGTTGGAGAAAAGGGTGGGGGTGTGATTTGAGCTGGGGAATGAGTACAAAGGGCCCCGTTCAGAGTGGGGGGGAGGGGAGCAGAGGGACAGAGGGGCGCTCAGCTGATCAGCTCTGAGAAAGTGTGGCCCACGCTGCCTGTCCTGTCATGCGGGTTGGAGAAGGGCTGAGAGCAGGTGACATGGCTGGCAAGGGTTGGACCAGCATCCTGTGCTTATCTCAGATGACACTCCAGAAGTCTGATTTTTATTGCCATCAACAGAATACTGAAGGCTCTGTTAACTTAGACATTCAAAGCACATTACTATTAAGCTGAATCTTTACCTGATACATGAAAGTACTGTTTTATTATTTTAATTTGCATTAGTTTAATTTGGAAGTGGCTGGCAAGTGCAAGGACCCCAGTTTGATCTGCCTATGATCTGCCTTTCTGTGTGCTTAGCCCTTTGAGTATTCTGCCTTACTTACTAGCTTTCTAGACTGTCTTTCTGTCTTAATGCAGTGCAGTCATTTTCCCATTGTGTTTCTACTTTATGATACTTTCTTTTTACAGAGGTTTGGAATGTTGATGTAGTTAAATTATCTCTCTGTGTCCTCTATGACTGGGGTCACCTTATTCAAAGATAGATAGGTACATTAGGTAGGTAGGTACCACTTTTTTTTCCTACAACTTTGGGGGTCTTTGTTTCAGGATTTAGGTGTTTATTCCATCTGAAATTTATTTTGGTGTAAAGAGTGGTGTGGTGGTTGTCTCAGTCCTGCTTTGCAACTTTATCTCTGACATGAAATGCTACCTTGATCTATCTCTATCACCTATTTGTATTTTAAAAAATAATTTTGGGGGCCAGGCCTGCACTTATAGCTCAGCAGCATAAGTGCAGGTCTGGCAAGTACAAGGTCCTGAGTTCAGTCCCTAATACATAATAATAATAATAATAATAACAACAACAACAACAATAATAATTTGGTTTTGAAATCTTTTGTTTACTTACCTGGTACAGGGTCTTATTACACAGCTCAGATTCATAGTAGTCCTCCTGCCTCAGCTTCCCCAGTGCAGCTATTACAGGTGTGTGCCATCACGCTGGGTTTCAGTGGCCAGCACAGGCGCCTGGGGTTCTGGGCCAAGCACAGCATGTGGTACCAGGGGTTGAACCCAGGTCCTTGCACTTGCCAGGCAGGCACTTAGACCACTGACTATCTCCCCAGCTCCAATAATAATTTCATCACCAGCTTTTTTTTTTTTTTTTTTTCCCAGTGACAGAGTTTGTAAATCAGTATTAATTTGAATGTTTTTTATTGCCTTTGTATCTTTAGGAAGATTATATCCAAGTTAGAGTGTTAAGAGTTATTAGGAATGCTGGAAGTGGGGCGAGGGGAACGTTAATAAGACCTGTGCTGCTGGGCTGCGTGCAACGACCATGAGTATGGACAGTTGAGAGCTCAGATTGTGGGATCAAAGCTGAGTGGGTGAAGACCGCAAAGCTGTTGGTCTGTAGGGTAGGTAGATGTGTATGCTGCTGTCATATGTTGGACATATTAGCTGGCACGGAACATAGAAATTTGCTGTGACAAAGAAAAAAAATTAGAAAACTGAAAGGGAGGGCAGTTTGTAGGTAGATGGAATATTGGGGCACAGGACAATAGCTATTTCATTGGTTATATTTCTGCTATATTTTTGTTGTGGCTCTACTTTAAACAGGACACCTACCTTAGAGGTTTTAATGTGTTAAAATGCCTATAATTCATGCCCCCTTTATATGAAATATAAAACTTCAGAAATTCAAATATGTCTGTGCAGTTGCTTCATATACTAATAGGATTATGTTAGTCTCTACATAAATGATTAGCTGTGCGGGTACTGAACGACTTGTGCACAGTGGGTCCTGACTTGTAGCATATATGCCTAATGCAAGCGTGTGCTGCAGTGATTCATTGGCAGGATGGGGCTCAGGGTCCTGAGTCTTATGTTTGAGGTCAGTGGTCTTAGACTAAGTGGGCTTTCATTTTACTCTTTCATTACGGAAACCAAACACATGGCCAAGTCTTCTTTATATGGTGGACATACATGGGGCGTGTCCCCAGGGTTTGACCTTAATTCCTCAGAGTTTCCATTATAGGACTGGCTGGACAATGGCCCAGAACAAGCTATTCAACAAGATCCTCAAAGCCCTGCAGTCTGACCGGCTTGCCCGCTTGGCCAATGAAGGGGTAAGACACCAGACTCTGCCCGTGTGGGCTCTGCCAAGTCCAGCCTCAGTGGCCGACTGATTTTGTGCCCCCACGGGGAACTTTTTTGTTCCTTCCCTTTGCTCCTTGCAGGCTTGTAACGAGCCAGTGCTGCGCCGTGTTGCTGTGGACAAGTGTGCGAGGAGGGTACGGCAGGCATTGGCGAGTGTGAGCTGGGACACCAAGCTGACCCAGTGGCTGCACACTACCCTCGTGGAGACCCTGAGTCTGCCCATGCTGGCTGCCTACCTGGATGCTCTGCAGACACTGAAAGGGAAGGTAAGGCTGTGCGTGGCGGCAGCCTGTCCTGCGGGCTCAGGATATGGGCACCTGGTCAGCTAATAGGGCAGGGCCAGAGTGAACAGGGGAGACAGCAGGATTTTGTTTGCACCTAGTGTCAGTGTCTCCAACCCTGTCAGGCAGCTTGAGGTGTGAGGCCTGAATACCAGAATACACATTTACCCTCTACAGCCTTGCTGTTCATGGTTTGAGTTCTTGTGGACTTAAAATGTCATGGAGGAGAAAAGGGCTGACCAGAGGGAGTACAGCTAGAGGGCCAAGAGGTGCTGTGGGGCCTTAGGGAGCGACAGTAGCTTAGCGGTACTTGGTACAGGTGTCGTCATGCATCCCTGCTTGCTGACTGAGACAGCAGTGCACAGGGTTAAACTAGTTTTCTTGGTGATGCCGGCTTATTGTGCAGTTGGTGACCACATTGGCCTGTCCTCTGTGGCAGAGAGGAGGTTCTGGAGGTGGATGATTGCCTGGCCCTGCTCAGCCCTGCTGTCCTGCTGTGGCATAAACTCAAGTGCTTGGGTTTTGTCATCTCCAAAGGAGTTGCCTGGTCACAACACCATCTACAATTCCTGGAAGGATGGAGAGCATGGATCAAAGTAGAGTGGTTGGCCCAAAATGCAGTGCAGTCAGCCTGTAGAGATGTTAAGGATGTTTATGTGGTGCTTCTAGGTGCAGGGATCAAACTTGGAACCTTGTACTTGTCAGGCAGGCGCTTATGCCACTGAGCTATATCCTAGACCCTAATTCTCTTTTTCTTTGTTTTGCTTTTTGATGTTAGGGATTGAACTTAGGGCCTGCTAGAATGCTAATGCCCAGTGTGTCTTCCCACAGTCCAGTCTGTCTTTTGCAGGATGCTGGCCCATCTGGCTGCTATAAGTCACCTTTCTCCAGCTGTATCCCCTAGACTTTCAGAGTATTTCTTAACTTGTTAAGCTGCAGGATGATACATTTGCTAGAAAGATAAAGAAGTCTGCTTGGGCTGGGGAGATAGCTCAGTAGAATAAGTGCTTGCCTGGCAAGTGCAAGATCCTGAGTTCAATCCCCGGTACCACAAAAAAATAAATAAGTCTGCTGTAGTGCTAGAATTTACTTAGGACTAGGTACGCTAATGATGTATGTAGTAGGGAGTTTGACCTTTCATCTTTTATTCAGCTAATTTATTTTGTACTAATGATGCATTAGGCCCAAGGCCGTGAATAAAACAACTGATCCTGTTCTGCTGGAGCTCGTTTTCTAGTGGAGACTGAGACTGGTGAGAAGAGTGACCAGAGTTCCCCACAGCAGGGACCCTGGTCTGGGAGTGAGTGGTAGGTGGGTGTAAGCACAGGCAGGCGAGTGGGTGTGGGGATAGGCAGGCCCTTGGCAGGAGCAGTGGCGGTGGCCTAGCGGTGTTGTGAGCATCTGTGCAGCTGTCCTCCCTTTTACTGACCATGCACTAATGGCACAGCCTTGGTGCACCTGTCCTGGGGGGTGGCGGTGACTTCTGGTGGGGTGTGGGACATGCACTGGTATCCTTAGCTCTCAGGCGGCTCTGCCTCCCTTGCCATGGCCAGCATGATTTGGATGTGATTCACCCTGTTTGTAATAACAGCACTGCTTTATCGTGTAAATTACTGACTGGCTGCGTCACCTATGAAGGAGGTAGCATCAGCTATTTGGAACATGACAAGCACTTTTGGGGACTCCACAGATGGTGACTGCATGGCCATGCGCCAGGCCACAGTGCGGGTCAGTAGAAAGGACACATGTTCCACCAGGTGCCATTGAGCGGGCCTAGGGTGCTGTCCACACGGGGCTGTGCTTTCTACATGGTTACTCCAACACCATGACTGGTTAGAATCGCAGCAGATTGTTCGGTTTTTCCAAAAGGATATGAGTGATTCTAGGTTTATTTGGCCTTTTTTTTTTTTTTTTT